CAAGAAGTGTGATGTGGGGAGTTCCTGATCTGTTGAAGAGATGCAACTTTTTACTTCTTATTTCTTCTGTCTTTTGTGCAGTTGAGTTTCTGTGCCTGCAATCATAGCTTAGGTGTATGATTATTAGGGACTTTCTTCAAAATGTACTTAAGTGCTATTTTATTCCTGGAATCAATAGACATAAGAAAACAAATTCATACACTTCTTAGTGATTTTTTTTTTCTTCCAATAATAATGTCCAGCAGTCATGTGGTGGTATCAAATTTCTGAAGTATAACATAACTTATATTTTACTGTAAATTATTAAAGCGAGACACTATTTTTGTGGATTGACATTTAAGCCCGTGGTTTTCCATGATGTCTACCATTAAGATCTTCTAAATCACTCTAAAACATGTTGAAGGATCTAGTAAGAACAAAAAATGATCGCTTGGGTGGCTTTTCTAATTTTTTGTTTACAATTTCAGAAACTCGCAAGTTCTTTGATAATCTTTGTGCAGAGAGAGACATTGAATGTCCACCTCCCAGGACAACAGCCAGGCTTCTTGACAAAGTAAGGGTGCTGTTTTTATAATCCTAATGTCTTTGAGGGTTTATCTGTATCAACAGAAGCCTCTTCAGAGAAGTTTAACTGGGAAACTGTGCTGAAGTGCATATCAGCTATTGCTGTATTAGAGTGAGAAAACTTGCTGTGTCAAAATCTTCTTTTGTGTTGTCTACACTAAAATGTAGTTTACTTATGTCTGCTTAATTTGAGTGCTAGAGAATTTTAGTTTGTTAGCTGGTGTCTTGTGGTTAAAGCAGATCTGCTTTATCTCATGTCAGTTTTGTCTGAGATGTGTGTATCTGTAGGTACCTTACCAAACAGGTAGGCTTAGCGTGTAGTTCCGTCAGCTGTACCCAAACACTGTCTGATAGCTGTTCTGATGCTTTTCTTTTTGGCCTTTGTTGTTACATGCAAAGTGAATTATTATACAGTTTTTGCTATGTCATTTTTCTTACCTGACTAGGACACACACTCTCTGTTAATGAAGACATTACCATGATCAGAAATTATTACTTGGGAAACTCTTAGAATTTATGGTACCACCTTCAGTAGCAAAGGGAAGAAATCAGGATGCTTTGTGAAGGCAGTGCTCGGAAAGTGATATTGTTTTTGTACTCTATGTAATTTTGTTTTTGTACTCTGTGTAATTGTTTCACTTTTGTTTTCCCAGTTAGTTGGTGAATTCCTGGAAGTCACATGTATCAACCCTACATTCATCTGTGATCACCCACAGGTCATGAGTCCTCTTGCCAAATGGTAAGAGTATGAGTCACAGTCAGTATGTAATTCTTTTAAATGCTCTATTCCTATTTTTAAAAAAAAAAAAAAAAGAAGTCACATATGTGAAAACAGAGATTTTGATGTTGTGTGCTAATTTGTGAATTCTGACACAAATCAAGGTTGGTTCCCGAGCTGTGAAACCCATCATCCAGGGAAAAAGCATGTCGAAGTTTTGACAGCTGTTAGTGCCAAGTGTGCACAGTCCCCCATAGTAATGTATGTGCTCTTTGCTTCAATAAATATGTTAATTTTAAGGTTTGGCTGTTTTGCCTTCTTCACGCAGGCATCGCTCCCATCCAGGACTGACTGAACGCTTCGAGCTCTTTGTGATGAAGAAGGAAGTGTGCAATGCGTACACGGAGCTCAACGATCCCGTCCGACAGCGGCAGCTCTTCGAGGATCAGGCCAAGGTATGATGTCTTACTGATGGTGAATCAATGATACAGATGTGTAAGCAAAGAGTATTTCCTATGGCTCCTCCAAATCAGTCACTGGTACCTACTGCTGAAAAGAGTTACTACTTTGAGGTGAGTGTTGCTCACTCAAGTGAAAGCCTGTCATTAAAATTCAATTCCTCTTAAAGGAACCTTGCTCTCTAAAGTAAGGAACCTTACTCTCTAAGGTAAACAAGTCCAAACACTGCTGTTGATTAGGGTTTTTTTAGTGCAACTTTGTTTTGGAATATTTTCCCTTTTATTCTACCTAAAGTACTAATCTGGAAAAACACAAATGTGCAAAGTGTTTTCTGTGTCTTGCCTAGGTTGAAAGTTATTTTTCCCCAACTAAGTATTTACATAGTCATACAACATTATACTTTAAGTTCTTAAGTAAATTTTCATGTCCAGTAAGAGTTTGAATACTGTGCAAGAAGTAGCTTAATGTCCTGAAATGAGTTATTAATATTTTAAGTCGACTCACAGAACAGAGCTGCAGATTGGAAATTATTAGCTTGCAAATTTATGTTGCTAGGTTTCTCTAAATAATAGGTCTCTTAAAGGAGTGACTGAAACTCATTTTGTTATTACTTAGGTATACACAGCCATGAATGCCTGCTTGTCTCCAAATGATTGAGGTCAGATGTGGTTTGCAGAAACAAAGCTGTCCTTTATACTGTCTCTGATTGCTTCACAGCGCCTGAGAGGATTAAACAATTGTCAAAATCAGTAAAATAGACTTATGTTAATGAACTTACTTGATAGTAAATTGCAAAATGTTCAGTCAGAATGACTAATACTACAAATGCCTATTATGTTTCATCTGTTGTATATACATTTACTGTAGCTGTCTCATGATTATAGTCAGACTGTGCAGATATAGGATTATATGTATTGAATGAAAATTTGCCTGAAAATTTAATGTTAAGGTGGAGACTGAGGTGAACAATGACAGTTTGCACTTCAAGATTTCAGGCAGAAAACTTTGCTCTAAGTCTTTTGCAAAGTCTTCCTTGAAACTGGGCAAAAATGTTTGCTGTTGTTTTGACATGTTTGGCATTTTCTAAATTTGAGATGGCTAGTCTGCTTTTTTATTATTGTGACTTTTGTCACTTGGAGGCTGTCAGGGCATTAGTTACTATCTCAGTGTAGGGTTTTTTAATTTTTCTAAGTGAGAGGAAAAAGGCAGTCCCTAAATTTTGTTTCATGGAGCAGCTACTGATGATTCAAACAGTTATGCTTCTTAGTTGTTTCTGCAAACATTAAAGGAGGGGTTGCAAGCAATAAAGAACCTGAGAAGCTTTTAAAAGCAATTAATTCCACTGTCATCTGCTGCTGTATGGCTTTGAAGATGGCTTTTACTGAAGAGCCTGGGCCTTTGCCAAGAAAGGAGACTGACAGGTCAGAAAGGAACTGAGCCTGGAGCTGTTTTGGGAGCACCTGTACAAGTGGCCCCCACAGTTGTCCAGGTGCTGCGGTTCCTTCATTTGTTACTCATTTGCACAGCTGTACAGGGTTTAGATTTCATCAGCTCCATGGCTGCTACAAATACTAGTATTCCTCTTTTTTGGTAGCAGAAGTGGTGCTATCTAGCTCTGTACAATCCACCTTTTACTATTAACTTCCTCATTTAGGCAAAAGCTGCAGGTGATGATGAAGCCATGTTTATTGATGAAAACTTCTGCACTGCCCTGGAGTACGGCCTTCCTCCTACAGCCGGCTGGGGCATGGGAATTGATCGCTTGACCATGTTCCTTACAGACTCCAATAACATCAAGGTAAGCATTGGCAGTGGCAGTGCCTAACTGCAGGCTTTTCAGGGAGCAGGGAATGGCATTCTGCAAAGCTGGCCATCTCCTCAACAGTGACAAATAGTGCAGCCGTGTCAGAGGCCTGGAGATGCACAGTTCCCCTAGGAAAAGCTCCTTCACTGTGCCTGCTCAGCTCTGGGGAGGCTGAGCTGGGCTGGGGCTGTTCTCACGGGACCTGTGCGCGGTGCTGACGCTGTCACTGTCCGCAGGAGGTGCTGCTCTTCCCCGCCATGAAGCCAGAAGACAACAAGAAGGAGGTGCAGCCTGAGCCCCCCGCCGAGGGCACCTCCGTGTGAGGCTCCAGACCGTCACTGGCACCTCTGTGTGAGCGCGGGGTGGCGCGAACATAAATAAAGGCAACGCTCTTTGCACCCTGACAAAGGTTGTTAATCCTGTTATATGCTTTTGCTTAATTTACCTGAGAAACTTGCCTGATATTAATGTTGTTGGAATCTTTCCTTGTCTGAGAAATTTGCCTGAGAATCCTATAACTTTTAAGGTAAGACACGTAGTTTGAAGATGTTTTTGTATTGCTTAAAAGCAGTAACCAATCAGAAACCAGCCTCCAAGGCTGTGAGACTACCCAACCAAGAACAAAGAACAGAAGAACCAGTTTCATGAGTTGGAAACGACAACTGAAAGGGAACTGTTAAACACTATCTGCTAAATCTTTTATATTCCAAATTAAGCTTGAATTTATTAGTATAAGTTTTTTAAAGATTTTAATTTTTCTACTAACACTTTAATAGAAAACATTTAATAAAGAACTAACATAATTCTATGTTAGGCTAAAGTATATGTACAAGAACCTTTGATTTTGCTTAACTTGCTGAGAATTTTCTAACTTTTGAAATAATAGGAACTGGGAAAGGAACATAACTTTTGCAAATAGATAACATATATCTTCGAACTGACAAGTAACCAGTCAACTTCCAGCGTTGAAGTCATTTGAAAGGCTGTGAAACAAGTCATTTGAAGCGAAAAGATATAAGCAGTACAACGGAATTATTTATGGACTAAAAAGATGTGTTTCTAAGAGACTGTAAATGTAATTAGATAAAAGGACGCTAGATGGGAGCAGAGACCGTGAAATAATTACAGTGATAAATATAGCGTGGGCGTGGACTAGGCGGGATTTAACATGAATGTGTAATGACTTGTGAAAAGAGAAGGTTTTTGCTTTTGTGATGTTGTCGGAGCACTTAAGGGCGCGTTTATCCCCGGTGCGCCCCAGTACTGTCAATAAAGGACGCCTGCTCAACACTGACAAAATTGCGGCCTTGGGGTAAATCTTTGTTTCGGCCCCGCTGTCGTTGCCTCTGCTGCGCGTGCGCAGGAGCCGCTCTCCGGCCGCGGCTCGCGTTTGCGCGGCCCGCCCGCGCCCGGTTCCCCCGCCCGTGTCCTCATGGCGATGGGTGCGGGTGGGTGTTCGCGGGCTGAGGGAAACCGGCCCCGTCCGGAGCCTGCACCTGCACCGGGAGCCATGTGGTCAGCTGATGAAATCGCTGGGCTGTGCTACCTGCATTATAGGACGAGACTCCCCAGGCAGGGGAAGCCAGATCCAAACAGGGAATGGACTTCACTGGCAGCTGTTGTCAAAGTGGAGTCTGCAGCCCAAACTGAGGTTTTTGCTAGTCCAGGGAACCTCCAGGGTAAGAATGAGTTGGGATAGGGTTGGGAGGTGGGGAATGGGGAGAGGAGGTGGCAGTCCTTGATGCGCTTTCCCCCCCCCGCCCCCAAGATGACTTTTAAGAAAAGCATACACCCCTTCCTGTCCCATTTCTATCTCCACCCAAATTCTTTACTCTTTGTGATTGTAAAAGCTTTTACAACTTCTGTCTGGAAAGAGATGGTTATAGTGGAACGCTGTTCTTCCCAGACTAAGAAGATGAAAGCCTGCATTTGGCTATTCAGTAAGTGGTGAAATTCTAGGCAGAACCTGAATTCCTAATATAAACACTTGCAAAAATGTTTAACTACTATTTGAAAGAATCCTGGAAAGGTCTCAGTTTGCTCTCCTTTAACAGACTGTCTTACTGCATTTTGCATTTGTGTATATATTCCTTTCTCTTACTGGCTCTTCAGTGTCGTCAGGCAGATTGTATCCCGTGTTTATTTCTTATGTGTTTGGGGAATGCTCTGCCAGTGTCCACTTGTGCTGCCTGGCACATCAAGCCTCTATTGGTGTTCCTGCTTTGCCATCATAGACTTTTCTCACACTGGTGCCTCTGCCTCCTGTGTTCAGTTCTGGATCTGTTTGCTTTCTGTAAGGTTGCACGGCCTGTCTCCCTGTCCATTCCCTTCCACACTATGTTCTGTGTGTTGTCTTACCAGAATAACTGTGTAAGAGCAAGACTTCTAGCAATAGTTGGTGATAGTTTGTTCAGTTAACGTTTCTTTTTCAGTATCTAAGGAAGTTGTTGCTATGGGAACTGGAACAAAATGTATTGGCCAAAACAAAATGAGAAAAAATGGTAAGTATGGTGTAAAATTCGAGAACAGACTACCTATGTTATCTTCTCTCTTGCTGGTGTCATAGAATCAATAAAAATGTACAAAGCATTCTGCTCAGACTTATTCTGAATTGAAGCCAGAAGTGTAAGTCAGACCACCCCTTATCAAGGAGAGAGGAGCTTAGGCAGCCAGAATGGCTGCCCTGAAAGTTTGCTGCACTTGCTGCCTTAAGGGTGAATGAACTTTTTATATGTAGAAATGTGTAGCTTAGGTCCTGAGTCTGCATGCTCAAAGACATCATAGCTAAAAGCAAAGCAAAACATAAGCAAAATAATTGCGTGTTGGTTACCTGACAGTCTGCCACTGCTGAGTCTGGGGTGACATCAGGAAGACACTAACAGGCTTTTTCTCCCTTACTGCATATTCTGCAATGAGATGGTTTTAAGTGTTTGTACCAAAAGTGTATGGGTTAGATACATGACTTCACACAACTACCGTTTTTCACTATTTATTGCAGGGCTTTCCTTGCTCTGCATGTCCATTTTTTATCCTTCATTTGTGTAGTCTCCTTTTGTGGTGATTGGAAGTTTAAATATCTTACAATAACCTAATACCAGTGTTAAACCCTCAAATGCTAATAAATCTGGAGAACTGTCCTATGTGAAATTCTATTTGCTTTGTTTGTCTACTTTTCAGTCGTGATTTGTATTCTCACTTGGTTGTTGCTTTAGGAGACATTTTGAATGACAGTCATGCTGAAGTTGTGGCCAAGAGGAGCTTCCAGAGGTGAGTTCATGTGCTGTTACTCAATGCCACTTGAAGGGCTTGAAATACAAATGGTTTTGATCTGTTGCTGAAACAGCCATATTTTGCCCCTTCAGATAGGAGAGTGTAATGAAACACTCCATTACTTCTCTGGAGGCAACAATCTTTCCCACTGTTAGTGGGATTTTAGCCTAGTTTTTACACTTTTAGGTGGTGTTAAGGTCCTTTCACAAAAGCTTGTTTCGTCCGTGTTCTTGTAGAGCCTCTTTATGAAGAATTAGGATCTGATTTCATGTGACATCAATGCAGGTCTGATGACTGCTGGTCAAGGGTAGAAGTTTTGCTGTTTCCCACATACCAGTCCTCTTGTTTACATGGGATAAGCTGGTTCAAGGAACTGAGCCAGGAAAATAGTAATTCTGCAGAAATTAGTACATTTCTTGTGATTTGATGCCACCAAACTGAGTCTTACAGAGTCAGATGAGTTCCAGTGCTGGTAAAAACACACATAGTGGGAGAGAGGGCCTTATATACACAATTTGAGGAGATAGTTAACTCCACTGAATACAACCCTTTGAGGTCTGTTATTGAAATTCCAATTATGTGTTTTCGTTTATGGAGTATGTTGGATCCCGTCTATCTGTAGAAGCATAACTGATTGGCTCCTCATAGACTGCATCAGGAAAGAACAGGCACTAGAGGGCATCTAAGTTTTGTTGTTTTCCCATGCATCAAAAATACAGTAAATGTTTCATGAAAACTTTCTGCCTAACAGGTACCTTCTCCATCAGATGTGGCTGGCAGCTTCCCATCAGCAGTGTAGTATCTTTAGTCCGGGAACTGAAACTGGAAAATGGAAGCTTAAACCAAATATCATATTTGTTTTCTTCTCCAGTCATACCCCATGTGAGTATGCTGGAGTGAACCAATTACATTGCTTCCACTTTTAAAATATTTTCTGCCCCTTACCTTTCTTTGGTTTCTCTCTGGTCTGGAGTGAGGGTGAGGCAGTAATTCATGTTACAAGTATGTGCCTGAAGATGTACTTGGCTGGTCCTCTGCAGATAGATTTGGCATTTTATCTCGCTGGATGTGATTCATGAGAGCTCAGTAAATTTGATATACTGCTTGTTATATAGTTGAATGTTTCACTTTAAACAATAATAGTTAGTATTTTCTTTTCCAGAAACCAAGACACTTGCCAAAGGCCCTGTCATATTGTGCTGTTGCTTTGCTTTAAACATTCTCCTTGGATTAAAATTTTAATAGAAAACACCGACATTTACCGCAGTTACTAAAAACAACCAAGCAAATAATACCCCCTCAACCCAGTGAAACAGAAAACCAAAAAAAAACAAACACAAAACCCCTGCAACTTCTGTCATGGAAAATGTTCTTTTTGTCACCAGACCTGTCAGACTTGCTTTGCTTGCTTTGAGCTGAGCTTCAGAATTCTGGTTTTGAGCTTGTTTCAGTGATACAGATTAAAGTTTTCACCCTTATTTGACAGATTATTCTTTAATTACTCTTTTGAGGTTCATGTTGTTTAGTCAGATCAGACTGGTTTTCCTGCGAGTCTTCAGCACTGCTTGTAGCCTGTCAAATGCCTTTGTTACCTTTTGCTTTATAGGTTTTGTTTTAACTTTTGCTCTTTTGTTTCTTACGTAGAATGCAAAACTTGAAGTTGAGCATATATTGGCTCAAATTTCAGTGAAATCTGAGTCATCATTGCACAGGACAATGTTGTCTTAAAAACACATTATCGTAGTTAAATTTTGCTGAGTGCAACTCTCTGAAAGCTAATAGTAGTTGTGATATTACTGGTGTGAGGTGTTCCAGTCACGAAATGTGTTTTTGACCAATTTTATGTTATTTCTTTGGTTCTAGGTGGAGATGCTTCTATTATTCCAATCAGCGAACCAGAGAACCAGCTTTCTAAGCCAGTGACTGCAGGTGATGCAGCTGGACAATCAGCAGAGTGTAGAAGTAACCGTGATCATTTGTGTCCAGAAGATAAAAGGAAAGCAGAGAATATGGCAAGTAATCATGCAATCAAGAGAATGAAGACTGAAGATGATGGTTGTTTTTCCACAATCAGCAAAGACCTGCCTGCTCAGCAAGAATCTGTAAAACGAGAAGATGACACAAATCAAAAGTGCTGTGACTGTTCTGCAGAGATGCAAACAGCTCATAAGGAGACTGGCTTAGTGAGACCAAAGGTAGTAGATGTTCATAGAACTGGAGCCAAATGTGTGCCTGGAGAGCTGGATGATGCCCGAACACCTGGGCTGGGGTACCACTGTGTGGGATTATTACGAGTGAAGCCAGGTCGTGGAGACAGAACATGCTCTATGTCCTGCAGTGATAAACTGGCTCGCTGGAATGTGTTAGGGTGTCAAGGAGCTCTTCTCATGCATTTCCTGCAGTATCCAGTGTATCTGTCGGCAATTATAGTGGGGAAGTGTCCATATAGCCAAGAAGCCATGCGGAGAGCAATTATTGACAGGTAAGTGCTCTCCTTTGGAAATCAGATGGTGTATGTGGAGACAGTGAGCTTGGAAAGACAATGTGTGTCACACAAGTATCAGAACTTCAGTAAGCTTTTGACACTGCGTCTGGTAAGGTCCTAATAGAGAATCTGTTAAAGTACGAGCTGGATGAGCAGACATGTGGATTGAAAACTGTCTGAATGGCTGGGCCCAGAGCCATTCAGACTGAGAGCCAGAGAGCAGTGATCACTGGGCAAGGTGTAGTTGAAGGTGTAAGTAGCCATGTACCCTGGGGTCAATACTAGATCCAGTCCTGTTTAATGTCTTCGTTAATCATCTGGATGATGGTGCAGAGCATATGCCCAGCAAGTTTGCTGAAGACTCAAAATGGAGAGGAGTGGCTGATATGCCAGGGCATTGTGCTGCTGTCCAGAGGGACCTCAACAGGCTGGAGAAAGGAAGGAACCTCATGAAGGGTCGGCAAGGGAGAGTGCAAAGTGTAAATATTTTTTTGTCATATCCTAATCTCATTCAGTATGCAATGGTAATGTAAGGTAACGAAGATGCAATTGCACATAGAACTGCAAGTATATTTTGTATCTGTTTGGGCTTTGATTATGAACCTTTAGGTTCATTAAAAATTGCTAATGTAATGTGGTTGGCATAATATAAGTACTTCATGATCGTTATTTTTCTTTGTGATTGCAGAAGTATATTGCAGTTTTTATCTTGCATACTAGCTTTTAACTAGACCTTTTAAAAAATCAGTTCATTGTAGTTTTTCTAGGATGGTCAGGGTCTTAATAAACTAATGTGGTTTTGTTTGGGTTTTTTTTAACAAATATTTTTTAAGGGAAAAATGCCTCCAAACCTCGTTGTCTTTCCTTTGTAACTCATGTTGAATTCAGTTTTTCATGTAAAAGCAACATATTTTGGATAATGAAGGAAAATTATACAAAATGGGCTTGTTTGGGAAGAACAGACTGAAAATCATTTGCATTTTTCTGCCTTTACTTTAGGTGTAAGCACATCTCATCCTTACCAGATGGTTTTCTGGCTCAGGAGGTTAAGCTGCTGCAGTCGGACCTTCGATTCGAACACAGTCGTGAGGCAGTTCAGGAAGTTCAATCTAACAGCAAAACAAAACTTGTTCCTTGTAGTGCAGGTGAGTTAACTTGGGCCAATTGCATAACTGAGTGCAAAAGTCCAAATAGAAATGAAGTGGTTTGGATTGTTTGGAACATCATTCAGTGCCAGTGCTAGAGGCAAAATATGAACAGCAGGAAATTAATTTCATGTCATAACTTAATTGTTAATAATTAATATTATGCAGCTCAGCCTCTAGTTTCCTGTAGGGAGTTTTCGGACTGAATAAACACTTGGTTGATGACATTAAGAATTTATAATCTAAACACAGACAGAAAATAACCAGGGAAAATGAAAGTTCCGAGGGCAAGAAGAAAACAAAAATATCAAAAGACTTCTTGTTTCAGTTAGTTTTGCATTCTCCTTGGTAATGAAAAGAAGAATTGCCATGCTGAGTTATGCTTGTAATTGCTCCAGAAATCTGAACGAAGAAAGAATACAGAGTAGTATAGTGTAAAGGTTTAATTGATAGAGATTTTGGACATGGCATTTTTTGTCATGGTGATGAATGAATATGCAAGTCTCGTTGTGATTTAGCAACATGGTCTCATTTGGGAAAAAAAAATAGAGCTGCCACTCTGTGTATGGTTAAGCAGTTTCCTTAAAATTGGACATGCCTGCCTTCTGCTGTCTGAAGCAGAACTGGAAGTTTTTCTATTACAATAGACCTGATGATAAAATAGAATGGAAACAAAGGGTTCCTTAATGGAATTCAGATTCATTAAATTGGAGTTAGTTTCTTTCCTGGCACTTATAAATATTTCGATTTTGTGAGATAGGAAACAAAATTTATCATTGAAAAATACTGCCAATTCACATATCAAAAAAGATCTGAAACAAACTGCAACTAAATGTCTGTCTTTCTGTACACTTTTCAGGTCATTTTGTTAAATGAAAACGAATGATGCTTTTTCAGGTTTTTTTTGCACATGTGAATTATGCTGGCTTGATTATTTTCTTGAAGGATTGAAAATCAGAATAAACTCTAAATTCTGGGCTGTTACCCTGAGCATTGAAATATGCTCAATAGGAACATTTCAACTGGTATTTTTAAAAAAGAAAAACATGTTCTGTTTAGTATTTTGGAGTTCGAGATAATTAGGAAGAAGTGAAAGAATATAAAGTGTTCTCATTTTTAAGTGGCTTTGTATTTGCTTGTCAGAATCTGATGTCCTCTGACCAGGTGAGGGTGGAGGGTTTCATACCAGTTGTATGTATCTAATGTTATTTCATACTACATAAGTTTGTAATTTAGTAGAGCCATACAGAATTGTACTTAAATCGCAGTGCAGGTACAATTGACACTTAGTGGAGTATGACAGTTGCAGCTAAATCATAACCAGTCTTTGAGAGTCTTGGATGGCAAGATGGTCTTTAGAGTTAATGAACATGCAACTGTTTTACCTGTTAGGAACACAGAGAAATGGGATAATTTAGGGGACAGCAGTTGTCTTACGGTAGTAGAAGTTAAAGGACCTGCTGTGCAGGGGCAGATGGGACACGCCGGGTTCTGCCAATGCTGCCAATGCTTTGCTGGTTACTTATAAATCATAAGGTGTCCTATGCAGAGTTTCAGCATTAAGAAGTTTACAGTCTCAAATGATGACAAAGTTCCCAGAATTGGGGCAAAGGATAAGGTTGTTGGCATATGCTACTTCTTTCAGCAAACTGTTTTTGACTACTAGCTAATAATATTTTTCAAGTAAAGTCTACAGATACTTGGTGTACATCAGTTATCAAACATAGAACTATTTACACAATCAAATAATAGCAAACAATAAATTACTAAGGAAAACACAGAATGACTGGTGCAAGTAGCTTAGGGGACTGTTTCACTACCTGATGTGAAAATAAGCCATCTGACTTGGAAATTTCTTCATGTTTTATCTGGACAGGACGTACAAAAGAAAGTGGAATCCCCCTAAGAAAGGGAGAATTACAAAGCTGGAGGCCAGATATTTAGAAGCATGCATTCTTAAAGGATCTAATTAAGATGAAAGCTCTGTGTGTGTGTGTGTATGTGTATTTTAATTTTTTTTTTAATTAAATGGAGTTTACCTGTTCTTTTAGGTACTGGAATTCCGGCCCTAGAGAACCATGGTCCTCTTTCTAGTTTGAGTTACTTTGGGAAGCAGCACATGAACACATAGGAACTGCTAGGTTCTGCTTTTGTGATAAGAGCATCTCCCTTGTTCATAATCCTTTCTTCTACAGCCATCAGTTGGAGTGCAGTCCCTGAGGAACCTCTGGATGTCACCTCAAATGGCTTCCGCCAGGGAACAACAAAGAAGGGAATTGGGAGCCATCAGAGCAGGTGTGAGAGTATTGTAGTATCCAGACACACGTTTTATTTGTTAGCATACATGCCTCTGTCAGCTCATGTGATGTGTAGGGCTTTGTCAGAGCAGAAGGAAGTCTAGGGAATGGGGAAAAGGAGGGAAGGTAGGGAGCAGGGGACAGGGGAGAGTCACTGTGTAAGGGAGAGAGTGGAGTTGCAATAAAAAAGTTAAATGAGAGTTAACAAGTTTATCCTATTTCTTTGTCATTGTTGAGAGCGTTGTGGATAAAGGCGGGTGACTATGATAAATTTTTATGAGAAGGATATTTACTGGTGAAGTTAACAGAATTTTTACTTTGTATTTTTTTGGGTTGATGACTATGAAGGAAATGTGTACATTGCAGGTTCTCTTTTTGCAGATTTCTTTTTCTTTAAGAGTCAAACCAACTGAACAGAGTGTATGATTGTTAGAAGTGTTGCTTTGAAGCATGACTTTCTGCCTTAAAGTTTGAAAATGTATTGAAATGCTTGCAGCACATTCCTAACATGAAACATGTAACCTTTCCAACTGTGGTTTTGGCACTGTGCTCTTTAAAACATCTCATAATCTTTTATCAACAATTAATGCTTAAAAAAGCCAGTTAGGTATTTTTCTTGTGGTTGAGAACAATTACTCGTAACATCTGCGGACAAATCTCTCCATCTCGATGTTATCTTCAGTTTAGGTGAGGTGACCAAAATTATCAGTGGTCTGTGGAAATTCAGCTTGAGAGTTAGGGTTTGTGTATTAGTTGTTGGCTCCTTCTATTACCAATTTATCAGTAGTCATTCATTTTTCCCACACTTTCTGGGAGAATGACAATAATCCTGAGTAGTGAATAGCATAATAAGTGGAGCCTAGACAATTCTTTTGGAGAATTTGTTCACATGCCTGCAAGTTGCACATTCTGAGCTTCTTGAGGTTAGGCCTGACTTGACTGAAGTTCATACTGGTATATCCTAGTATTTTCAAATTTTCTGTGTAAAGAAGGGGAACTTTGTGGTTTGTGACCAGTGTTGGTGTCTGGGGTGTTGCTAACATGCATGACCTGGGTGAATTAATGTGTCTTTTGAGACAGGCTTTGTGTGCACTGTAGAATAGTAGCTTTCAATATGTGGTGTATAATGTATTCCAGAAGATGTGTGAAAGATCAAACGAACCAACCAACCCCTTTTTTCTCAGTAGGCTTAAATTTGTTACATAGCATTTATGTATCAGCTTGAAAACGTGAGAGCCATCTGCTAGCTGCCAGTTAGCACAGAAGTGTAAGAACTTAGTGTTGAGAGATCCTCCTCTCAATATGTGCTCAAAATTCACTAAAACATTCAAAAGTTATTAGAGTCTACAAGACTGTGATTACAAACGTCTCATTTCCTTAGGAAATCAGGATTAAAAGCAATGTCAAGGAACAACTATTTACACTTTCATGATAAGCAGTCACAAAAGGAACTTTTATAATGAAAATAAGAAATTTACAGCCTTATTGGGTGTGGTGCTGGTTAATAATAAACGTGATAAGTTTCTACAATTTCTTTTCTCTCAAGGAATCAATATGCTGGATAACACTAGATATCAAGGAAGGTAAAGCTGACTGACTAAAAGGAATTTGTAGGTAAACGTCTGGTGTGTACTTTTGTTAATGCTTAATTAACTACACCACCAAAGACTACAGTATGAACCTTTGACAGATTAAGTAGAAGATTATATTTTAGAGTGTCTTTGCATGACCCAGTCACCAGTGGGGTTCAACAGGGCTCTCTTTTAGGGTCAGTGCTTTTCAACATCTTCATAAGCGACTTGGACGCGGGACTTGAAGGTACAATAAGTAAGTTTGCTTCTGAAGATACTAAACTGGGAGGAGCTGTCAACTCCCTGGAAGGAAGAGAGGCCCTGCAGACACCTTGAGAAATTAGAGGGCTGAGCAATCACCAACCCTTACGAAGTCTGAAAAAGAAAAGTCCTGGTTTCTGCACCTGGGATGGGGCAACCCTGGATGTACGTACAGGCTGGGGAATGGAGGCTGGAGAGCAGTGCTGCGGAAAGGGACCTGGGGGTCCTGGTCAGTGGCAAGTTGGACATGAGTCAGCAGTGCCCTGGCAGCCAGGAGGGCCAGCCCTGTCCTGGGGGGCATCAGGCAAAGCATCGCTGGCCCGGCGAGGGAGGGGATTGTCCCGCTCTGCTCTGCACTGGGGCAGCCTCACCTTGAGTATCGTGTGCAGTTTTGGGCACCAGAACATAAGAAGAATATAAAGCTATTAGTGTCCAGAGAAGGGACCATCAAGATAATGAATGGTCTGAAGGGGAAGCCTTATGAGGAGCAGCTGAGGTGACTTGATTTGTTCAGCCTGGAGGAGACTGAGGGGAGACCATCACAGTTACAGCTTCCTCACGAGGGGACATGGAGGGGCAGACATTGATCTCTGCTCTTCATGGGGAAGTAAGCTTCTGATTTCTTTTTTCTATCAGAATTTCTAATTTATTTTTTTTTTATATATTAGATCCAAGATCTGTAAAGTGGAGCTCTTCCATAAGTTCCAAAAGCTGGTGACAAGTATTTCACAAGAGGATCTACCAGACACTCTCCGGTAAAGACATTATTATTGCATTTAGAAGAGTGAGTTTTTCTTAATGAAACCAAAGAATACTGTGATGATACTAGAATCTGCTCATGAATCTCCCTTCAGATAAGTTCACTGTTAAAATCTGATACTTGAAAAATGTGAAAAGAGACACAAGATGAGGCAGTAGTATCTTTTTTTGAAAACATGGCTACTAGATCAGCTGCCTGCCCTTGGTGGTGTTCAAACCCTGCATCCAAAAATTGGGGAGTTATTAATATCTAGTTGGTGTTTAGTAATTCTGTCAAATGCCATTTCTTTGTTTCACAAAAAGAAAGAGTTTCAGTAAAACCTTTTTTTTTTTTTAAGTCTAGGCTAAAACCTTTCTCAGTGTGTGGTGGAGTAGGAGCTAGTAAGGTGGGATAGTGTGTATGGCTCTTTATGCAATGCATATGTTACATAGATGGAGACTTTCTGGAAAGAACAGAAGGAAGCTTTTGTGTGAGGAGGCCATACTTGGAATTTGCCTTTGCATTATTGGAAACAAGTTTGGTTTATCAAACTGGAATTAATTACTTGCAGTAATCATCCAGTCTGCCTTAGCATTATGTGCATTATTGGTTGGTATTCCAGCCCCAATAGCTGCCATAAAGTAAGGTATAGTTTCACATGCACAGAAAACTTCTCTCTCTGGCTTAGAGATTCTGAGAGGTAGAAGGTTCCAAATCCATTGCCATAGAAGGTTTATTTTATTTTAGACTTATTTCCAGGTATAATTTCACCAGCTCTAGGATGCAGTTACATGAACTCTTGGGCTAATTTAACTGCTTGTAGTTGCTGATAGGGATGGTCCCCCAGCAGTCTCTGCTGCTACTGGCTGTAGATTCCTGTTTTCTCCCTTGTATCAGAAGCACTTCTCCAATCTCATGGTGAGTCAGTTCAGCTAGCTAATGTGGATGAAAACAATTCTCTTGTTTTCTGTGTTTTCTCTTGGACTAATGAGCTGAATTGGCTCATGGAAAGTTAAAACAGGAAGTAGGAGGTGTGTGGCTGGAAGCAGGGGAGATAGGCCCTTTCAGCCTTTCATGCTACCAAGACAGTAGATGCAGTGAAATTAGCCAAAGTAAGTGCACCTTGGATCTTTAATTAGTAGATCTTGCTTGCTTTTGAGTTTTGTTGAATTAAAGATTCTGTAGAAGTGTCTCATAACTATTTCAAAGTTCTGATGTCAGCATGAGATGCTTTCAACTCATTCTAAAGTAGAGATACACTTTCTTTGTAAATCAGTTTAAAATATAAAATTATTATTATTATAAAATATAATATTATTATCCTCTTTTGGGTAGGAGTTTGTCCTCACTTGTTTAGCCATCATTATTTCCTCAAAACAGGTTGTGAACTGGTGCATTGCTGGGTAGGTGACTCATTGTTCTGATCATGTGCTGCTTATATAAAGTCACTTCACCTCAGGGCTTTCCTAGACTCCAGTGGCTCTACCATTTCCTTTGACTTTTTTGTCCTCTACTGTTTTTCTGTCTGGGCTTCTCCTGACAAAGTCCAGCTGATTCACAGATGTGACACTGGTTTTAGGCTGCATAAACTCTATTTATACAGTAGAGGTGCTAGCTCACCAGTCAGCTTGTGCAGCTGATTCACTTTTGAAGTCTTTGTTTTTCTTCCTCTTCACTTAAAAAGCAAAATAAAAATAGTGTCTTAGTGTTGCTGTTTCCTTCATCTTTGCTTTCCTTTTCTACACAATATTCTGACATATTTTTGTTTTTCTTTCTTCCTTGGAGTCTGAGTGAACTTCAGATAAGAAATCCCACAATCTCAAATTGCATCCTCTAAACTTCTGTGTATTTAACTGTTACCCAGTTTTGTATTTTCTTTCCATTCAAAGGTGTCCTGTTATCTCTTCCCACAAATGGTTGGCTCTAATGCTGCTGCCACCCAGTTTCCTTTTTGCTCTTTGACCCGAAGTTCCTGCCCTGCCTCTTCTAGTCTACTTTTTGGTCTCTTGCCTCCCATCTTTTCTGTTCCATTGGGGGAAACTCATTCTGTAATAATTTCAAATTTGCTGAATAGCTTGTTTTGTAGTTGTAGGGTGTATTAGGACAAGGATCATTCTTCACTTAACCCTTCCTTCCAACTTAACTGTTGTCCACTGTTAGCTTAGGAACCAGGGAAGTTAAAGCTTTATACTGATTCTGATGTTTTGTTTTCTTCTTTTGTGTATCTAAAGCTGCTTCTCCTGCTTCTTTTGTCTTCCTTTCTCTTTGATTCTTTGCTTCTATCCAGAGGATGAGTGTTAAATTGGAACAGGTAGAGAGCCTACTGGGGCCAGAACTTTGCTGGCTCTCCTAGAAGGCAAGGTTAGGTGTTTGTATTAGCGTAGCTTAGCTAAGATTTTTAGCATCATTCAGCAATTGGTAATTTTTGTATGAGTAATATTTTGGTTGATTCCTTGTACGTATTTTTCACGTGCAATGTGTCTGTAATCTTGCAAGTACATTATGGGTTAAACATAAATGTTTGAAGCTGAATATGGAGTTAAAGGTAGGGTTTGTTACCTGAGAAGGAAGTATTGCTGCAGTGTATTGCTTTTCTCTGCAGGCTGCCTTTTTAATGAGCCCATTCCTGCTCAACTTTGCATGTAGCTGAGCATGTGAATGTTTTCATAAGCATAATGGTGATTTTTGTAAGGCTCTTTTGTGTTACCTTTCAGAATGAAGTCTGTGGACCACTTCTCGTGTCTCTGGCACAAGCTATCAGAATCCCTGTCTCTCTCTTGCACAGTAGTGTAGGGGCAAGATTGAAATAGTAAAGGGAAACATGCTAGAAACGTACGTCAGACAGACTTGGATAGGGTGGAGATTCTGTGATTGTGTTTAACTTTGCCTGGGGCAGTCACAGGTTCTTCATTACTAATGCTCAGAGCCTTAACTACATCTGAGATACAGTCAAATCATGTAAGGTTTTTATGCAGATACAATGTACATAGAATTTGAAAGCATTTTTCCTGTATATGTGTTGAAAATTCTTAGAAGCTTAATGCACAAATCAAGCATGAATTAACTAAATCTGTTGATTTTGTCAGCTCTTTGAGGAAGCTGTTTAAAATACTTTTTTAATTTCTGTTGCATGCACTTTTAAATCACTGTACTGATGTTGTCTGCTTGGAGAATGAGACCCCAAGAGGCTGTGGTCACATGTGCTCTAGTAGTTGCTACAGTGTGGTGAGAATCCTGCTCCTGTCTATCCTGCTTTTGTTCTAGCTGTCTTTTTACTGTCTGCTGTAAGAGTTTCCAAACAAAAGTCCGTTGGAATAATGTAGGTTAGAAAAATCCCGTAGGTGTTTTAGTTAAATTGGGTCAGACTGATAGGTATGAGTCAGAGCTGCTAATTTGACAGCAGATTCAGGGAAAAAGAGCAACATTTAGCAAGGAAGAAATGAAAAATAGATGAAATGAAGGTGAAGGTGCAGGTGGTTTGTACTGTGTTTGAGGCACATGTTACCTGGGAGAGAAGCAGCTTGCCTATGCCAGGGTTTTGGAGCCAATTGTGGAGGGTTGACTTTGATCCTTCTTGGACCAGGTGGTTTCCTGAATGCTGCTTATGCAAATAGTTGCTGGTCTTTTGCCTGTTCAATGATGCTCCTATACTATGATCCACTACAGATTATGGGGTTCTGTGACTGTTCCACTGCCCAGGTGGGGGAGAGTTGCAGGGGGCCCTTCCATGGAACTTTGCAGAGGAGCTCAAAGTTAGTTTCACGGAGTATGATGAATGTGAAAGAGGTAAAGCAGAATGAATTAGCTGGGATGAGAGTGCAGGGCAGGTTTGTTAAGGGGGAAGACATCTCCTGTGTTCAGCAGGGACATAGACAGGTTCACCACTCTCTCATATTCAGAACATAAGGTCTGCAGGATAGATAATATGGCTTTCTATGCATGTCACAGCGTTCTAGAAATAAATTCATAGCAGAATGATGAATGCCTGAAACACAGCTTCTGATGGTCTGCAGTTTTGGGGGTGATGGGTGATCATTATTGCCTTTGAGGATTAAAACCTGTTCTAGAAGTTAGTGCAGTGGTTCTCAGACTTTTTAGATTAGGGTTCCTATAGTAGTTTGGCTCTTCCTCTTTCTTGGTGAAGGTCATGTTGCCTGTCGTCTTTCCTTTGTGTTGGGTTTAATGTGTTAAAACATTGCATACCACATGTGGCTGACAGACTTTTTGGCAAAGGGAGATGAAAGAAGCTGAGAAAGGAATGCAAGGAAAGGAAAAAAGTCTTGATGAGATTGTCTTAGAGGCATTTGTTGTCAGATACTCTAGACCTGAATTTCTCTCTTTTGAAAATCAATGGCATAATGTACTCAGCAGAGTGACCAATAGTTCTGCTGAGACTGTGGGGAATAGGTGCTACTTGAGGAAGAGGAACAGAACACCAAAATCACTGAGTCTCTTTTGCTTTAGGGAAGAAAAAAATTATTTTCTCCTTTGTCTCATTCTTCTTCATCAGTTTTGTGTTGGAAAAGAACTGTCCTGTTTGTTCTGTCCCTTTCCCTTCCAACCAGCAAGCATATCTGTTCTTCTAGCAAGCTAAGGCTACTTCTACCCAATTCAAAGCATCTCTAGCCACCTTTTCAGCTTTGCTTCAGCATTTTTCGCTATCATGGAAATTTTCTGTGACCTGTGGTCACACAGTCAAACACTTCTATTGCTGGATAGTGTGTATGAAGCATGGTAGAAGAGTTGTTTTGCTGCCTTTTGTAAGACTGCTGACAGTGTCTGGCTTCAGAGCCTGGGCCTCTCCAAGTCTCTCTAGAAGAGAATTTCACCTAGTAGCATGAAAGTTCTCATAGCGTATCATCATGTTCTTAGAAGTTTGATTGCTTTTTTCATTCTGTGACATCATATTCAATAGGATCATAGAATTGTTTTCATTTTTGTGCATTTTCTGTCAGGATGAAGACTCTAAAAACCTACTGGGACTACAAGGAAGCTGCATTAAATTATCAAGAAGCCTGGAAAGTGCTGCGTAGCCAAGCCCTGCTGGGTTGGGTCAAGAATGCCAAAGAATACTTGCACTTCATATGAGAATCCATGTGGCTATGTAAATCCAGCAATAAGCTCTGGTCCACAGCAGATACCTCTGCAGTTCAAGGTCCAGGAAAAGATGTCCTCAGTTGATGTGCTGTAAAGAAACAGGAGTGAAAAGGAAAGAAATTTATAGAGGTCTTTATTTTCGTTGTGTTGAAGTGCCCTTTTTATTTAAATGCAGAAAACGATCATTGCTGACTTGAAGTACTGAGCTGCATGAAACAATATGCCTCCAACAGAAAGGAAGCAGGGATGTGCTGCCCTCTGTTATATGAGGATATGATCAATCTGCCATAATTGTTGCAGTGAAAGTAACGTCACCTGAAGTTGAAGCAGTGCTGTGGAAGAAAGGCCGTCACTGTAAAATTTTAGCGCTGCTTTTTTCTTCCACTCCTCATAATGTTATGGTTGTTTTTCTGTTGCTGGGACAACACTAATGTATAGTAAGTAATATTTTTATAACTCTTGGCTCTCCTTGTCTGGTGCCTGGAAGAATTTTCCATGTCCCCCAGCCCCATTGCTTCTAACTGGAAATACTAGTTCAGTTAAAGCGTCATTTTCTCTGGGAATCAATCATATATAGTGCTATTTACTAAATATAGCCACAGCTACAGCCACAGCAGAAGTAAAAGAGTGCTGGGGAGGAGTCTGTGTCAAATAATACCTCTTATGATATCCCATGCATCTCTCTTAATTTCAGGACTTTGACAGATAACCCTCCAACTGCTTTGCTTCCATAGGAAAGAAAGAAATGTCCTGAATTACATGATTAAAACCTGTCAATCCTGTGGAACTACAGGCAAACATTTACCTACTTTTCAGTGTTTCAAGCACTGTGCATCCCCCTTGTCCCCCTGTGGGACACGGTTAATTAAAAGCAGAAATGCCTTAACCATTTATGTCACTGTTCCCTGGCAAGTGTTCATTAATAGCCTGGCAAAGGTGGAGATGCTTTGGGGGACTGAAAGTAGTCTCTGGCATGTGTCTTGCAGTCTCTTGTCATCATGCTTTATTACCAACTAACATCTGCACGGCAAAACTGTCAACACTGTGAGCAGTTGTGGGGGAAGCAGTGGATGGATAACCCTCCCTAAACTTTCTGTCCCAGTTATTGCCTTCTATGAGCAAGTTCAGGACTGTGTAACTGCTACTGAGCACACTCCCCCTTTGTATTTTTTCTCTTGTAAACCACAAATCATAAAATATTTGGACAAGAAGTGGATAATTTAGAACACAGGAATTCTTCAGTGATTTGAATTTTCTGCTCTTCGGTATATTACAGTTTTGGATTTGAAAAATGGGCACAGCAGTTCTCCAAACAGCCTTTGCTGTCAACCTACTGAGCTAGATATGGGACCAAACAGTATACATCACATTACACTCTGAGAACTGATTACAGCAAATCCTTTTATTTCATGATTACGCTGACTTGTCAGATAAGTATAGTTCTCTCTTACTTGTTGAAGAAATAACAAAAAACTTGAATTCTGTGTGTATAAGCCTATCCTCTCAAATACAGCACTAACATGCAGAAAGACCAGTTGTACTGGTGAGGGGGGAGTCATTGTATGTTTGTAGAGGGCAAGGGATTATGGAGATTGGGTGACTTGCATGATTCATCAGAGGATAAAAAAGGGCCAGATGCCATTGCACATGGGCCACAGGGTGAACTGCTGAAGACAAATGGTAGCAGTTACTGTAGTTGAGCAAATAGTGTTGCAAAGGCAGTCCTGTGGTGTACCTAAAGAACTGCCAGTAAATTTCCAGGTTCCTGAAATTTACGTATGTCATTTCCTGAAATCTTGCACAAACTATTAACTTACCATACCTAGTCTCCCTTTGTTAATCAACAATGTCTTAGTGAGCCTGCTGACCAGACTGGAATGTTCCCATTTCCTATTCAGCTGCAATATTAAAATGGGTTGTGTAAGACTCGTTCTGTAGTCTTGGCACCAGACTGGTTTTCAGATGAGCAGTTATATGATTTAAATTCTTATAACTCTTTTCTAAAATTTGAGCCTGGCTGTTAGGATTGTTGCTGGTAAGATTTTTCTGTGCATTTGTAAGATACTTGTGAACTGTAGGCTGCCATTTTTCTGTTACTTGTCAGATTTAAAAGCAGTTTTCGAGGTGCTGAATACTGATATTAACCTCACGTTTTGAGTGGAGTCGAGGACATATTTAAGCTAGAGCATGTCAGTGAATACACAAAGAGAGGAAAGGAGCTAAAACAAAACAGCATTTAAAAGAGGATCTTATACTCAACTGGATGGCATTTCTGTGATGGAAAATAAGTATTTAAATGCTGCATCTGTTTAATTCCAAAACGTCAAGAAATGCTGTAAGCAGTCCTGTGAAACTGGTCTAAAAATCAGAAGGGAAAGATGCAGAGATAGGAGAGGACACAGTCTCTGCTTTTGTAAGAGGTAGCAAACTAAACTTTGATCATTGCCAGTAGATCTTTGGAAGAATTGCTCCTGAAAAGTACCAGTTTATGTGTTCCAAGCTTGTATCACTCCTTTGTGCTAGGATAGCTGACACCCTGAGAAACAGAGATAGGCAGGGCACAGGGAGGACAGCAGAATGCAGACTGTGCCACAGGGGAGCAGAGTTGGGGGGAGTGAAGTAGCAGGAATGAAGTGCCCACAGTTCATGGTTAAGGACGACATTAAAACAATTCATAGTGGGAGAAACAGAGCATAGGAGGGTGCCAAGGCTCCCATGGGATGTGTCAAATGCTCTACAGAGCATTGTACTACCCAGATAGGTCCTTGCCTTTCCCAAACTAGTATGGGGACCAGTGGTCTCTGATTGCCAGAACAAAGAAACTGTAATCATTGAGTGGGATGTTTTTAACAGCCTCACTGTTGGAGACATCATTCTGTTCTCAATCATAGTAAGAAGGCAGGGCAGACTCCCTGCTCATCTTTAAGGATGAGCAGAACATAGAACATGTTTTTGTCCAAGGGTAGGAGTAACAAATCTGTTTGACCTGGAGGCTGCAGTTCCATGAGACAGGATGCTATCATCCCACTAACTTTGAAAAAGCAAGATTTTGATCTTCACATTGTGCTTCCACTGCTCACCTTAAACAGACTGGAAGGCTTACTATCTCAGTACATTCAGAGTAAATTGAAGACTATTTAATAACTGTATTTGTAGAAAAACAAACCACGAGTCCAAAGCAAGGTGTAGCCTTTCACTAGAAATTAAATGAGCTTTGCAATAAATCCAGTAAGCACTATAGGAAAGGAAGAGCTCAGGCTGTGCTGCTGAGGGCAGGAGAATTCTGTTGGTAAGGAGGAAAGAAAGGTGTTGGAGTTCTTTCTCTCATAGTATCTGATAATGCCATAAGCGGGTTGCAGCAATGATTTGCAGGTAGAGGCAAGATAATTTTTGAGAAAAGACCATCTAAATGGTCTGAATACTAAATATTTACTGAATACTAAATTCATCCAGTACTAGTCTAGTTATATCAGAGGTGACATTTCAATTTAAAGATAGGTGATACAGAAGTGTTGCTGTGTAGTAGTAACAAGGTATTTCTTTGTTTTCTATTCAGTGTATTAATTTAAATGCCTTCCCAATCTTAAAGAGTTAACAGCAAGTGAAGATCATATGGGACCCAAATGCTTTTAATAATTTTACAGGAGTGATTGTACTTTCTAAAGGGATACATTTCGTCTGTGCATTTTGAAAGGAAACCTCTTGATGTTTTATTGCCATTTGAAGTGCATCTGCAGAGGAAAAGTAAAGTTACTGCTGTAGAATGTTTATCCTTGCATTCTCTAGAATTACTTGCATATCTGGGCTCCTTAATCTAAACTAATAAATACAGAGATGTTAAAGAGAACAGTTATGTGGTGGTCTAAGAGGATTATGAAGGGTAATACAAAAGTCACCTCGATTATAACATCTTTCCTTGCTTTTAGATATATCTATTTGCTAGCCTGTAATTGCCTTTATCTAGCAGTTTTAAGTGATGTGTTAACAGCTAAGAAAAAATATTACTTGATAACTAGAAAAACTCTGAAGTTTCAGCTTAAAGGAAACAACACTTTCCAGTAATAAAAGGTAATTTAAAAAAAAAAGACAGATGAAATCACTTTTCTTTATTCTGAATCAAAAATTCTGTTACGAGTAAACATTAATGCCTGGAAAGGGGGTTAGAAGGAATTCAGGACAGAAGCAGTGATGGAATGTTTACTAAAGCAGTGCTATACAGTGCAGTGCTATTGTGAATAATGAAAGGCTTACTGAGACCAACAGAGCATTTTCTGATGCAGTCAGCACATGGAGCACAGTTACTGTGACAAGCCTCAATAATAGAGTAGTGTGAACATTTCACAGGCTCCTACCTTCACATTTTGGAGTCTTTCTGCCAACACTTGTGAATGACTGCAGAGCCAAACATAATTCTAGGCATAATATGTCTTCATGGAACTTTGAGTTAGTATGAATTTAATTTTGGAAAGTGATAAATTCCCACTGTAACTGGAAACATTTTAAAAATTAAATTTTTATGCACCACGTAGTGTGAAAATGAAGTAAAACTTCTGTTAGGAATGTAAACTATATTTAGTGTTTCCTTGCTGGCTTAGGAAGATCAGTGTGATGCTACTTTTCCATGCCAGTGGTATCCTTTAATATCAAGGCATGAACTTCAGTACTGTGCAATTGGTTCAATTAGGTGGTTTTTCCACCCTCCTCTCCTGGGTGATCCACAGGTTTGCTTCTTTGCCTGTAAGTAGAAGTAGCTGTGTAACTTTGAAGAGAAGATTTTGGTTTCTGACTAAGCCTCTTCACTTTTGCTGTACTGGGTATGTGCTTTGGCAACAGTGCTCAATAAACTGGAGGAACTGATCTTGAATATTGTGCATGCAGCATTTCTAGTTCTAGCTATCTGTCTCAATGAAGTAGAACCATAGAGTGGTTTGGTTTGGATAGTTAGGGACCTCTAAAGGTCCAACCCCCCTGCAGTAAGCAGGGACACCTTCCACTAGAACAGGGTGCTCAGAGCCTTGTTCAATCTGACCTTGAATGTTTCCAGGGAGGGTGTATTTAGAACGTCCCTGGGCACTCTGTTCAATTTTTTTATCATCCTCATAAAAAAAAATAAATTCTTCCTTAAATCTTGTCTACCCTCATAGTTTAAAACCATTAAAATGTCTGACCCATCTTTCCTACAGGCCCTCTTTTAAGTACTGAAAAGCTGCAATGAGGTCTCTCCAGAGCCTTCTCTGGGCAACCTCAGCTCTCTCAGCCTGTCTTCATAGGAGAGTTGTTCCAGCCCTCGGTAGTTTTTGTGACCTGCTCTGGACCTGCTCCAACAGGACCGTGTCTTTCCTGTGCTGAGGAGCCCCGAGCTGTGCTTCAGTCTCACCAGAGCAGAGGAGAGGGACAGAATCCCCTCCCTTACCCTGCTGGCCATGCTTTTTTCGATGCAGCCCAGGATGCAATTGGTTTTCTGACCTGTGAGTGTACTCTGCCAGCTCATGTCCAGTTTTTCATCCTCCAGTACCCAAAGTCCTTCTCAGGGTTGCTCATTCCCTTCAGTCCCTGCCTGTACTGAACCTGGGGGTTGCCCTGGCCCAGCTGCAGCACCTTGCACTTGTTGGACTTCATGACATTCACATGGGCCCATTTCTTGAGCTTCTCCTGAATGGTGTCCCCCCCCTCTGGTGTGTCACCCGAACCACTCAGCTGTACAGGGAAGCTGTTCTTTCATGTACTGGGTTCTGTAACATCGTTACAATATCTACTGAGTTTTGATTGGAAAGGATGTGTATAATTACCTGTAATGCAACTACTTTTTAGGGTGAGGGGGTGTTTGTTTTGGGTTTGGTTTGTTGTTTTTTTTTTAAGAGCTACTCATGCAGTTGTTTTAATCTGAACTCCTTTGCAACTATTTCATGCTCTGCAGTAACTCATGTAAGAATTATACCTTCCACTTCTTCAGATCTCTAGGTCTCCTATTTGTATAATTCCTTCACCTAGGTGCCCTTCCCTTACATGCTGTGCTTTTGACACCTGGGTCCTGTTCTCCAAAGTCCATGGTATTTACTCATCCACTGATAGCCTGTGGGCCAGCATAGCTTTTCCTGATGAGATGAAGTAGATCTGAAGTTCTTGGTTTTGGAACCTACAAAGAGCTCCTTGTTTCTTCCTTGCATCATCAGCCACACTACAGTCTGAGAAGCTGTTCAGCGTCTAGTAAGTAATATAAGAAGCTGTATAGGATCTAGTAAATGGGATGTGCAACTTTCTGGACAAAATTAAGGTAAAGAAATGACAGCACTGCCTGTTTGTGACAGGAATTTTTATTGTACTTGTTTGTTAATTGAGAAAGAGGAACATACTGGCTCAATTCAACACGATCAGCATCTTGGTCCTGCTTAGGAGAAGCTAGCAAATCCAGTGTTCCCAATACTAATTTATTGGTTTTATTTTTCTTAAACTAACACCTCAAAACAGAATAAATGTGTGTTCTTCTCTTCATGTTTTAGTAGCCCAACTACTTTGCTTTATTATTTTATCAATGTCATCAAATGTATCCTCTGAAGAAGTGAGGCTCTGGGAATTCATAGCCATGAGAAAAAACCAAAAAAGCACAAAACCAACAAAACTTTTTTTTTATAATTTAACAGTCTAATAAAACAAGATCTATCAATATATTAAGAAATAAATCCAGTTACAAATGCATGTATATAGAAGGAACTTCTGTGGACATCCGAACAGAAAATGATCAGCTATTTACAAGATACACAGCAGGATGGTATAGTATCCAAGACCCACCATTCAGAAACCAAATGTGTTCTCTCCACTGTAGGCAACATATAAGAATCCATCCTCATCCTTTTCCTTCTCATAAAGTTGTCCCATAGTTAAGCTTCAAGGGGAAAAAAAGAGAAATGGTTTGCTTAGCTCATGACAGTTGCAAATATTAACAGTTAGAACCTTGCATAAACAAGGAGTAATAAAAGCTAAAACTTATAAATCTGTATATAAATTAAAATGCAAAAATGAGGATATATGAAAAGCAGTTGACTCTTGAGTTAGTGAAATGATCCTGGGCTCTCTGCATAGTAAATTTTTGATAATTCTTCACAAACACATTTGTCAGAACGCTTCCTTATTTTATTGGAAATAAATCACTGAATGTATTTCAGGTTCTGAATCGTGCATTAGATGCCGTGACTAATACCAGGATTAATGGCCTGACAGTACTTGAATGCAGCTGCATTAATGTCTTGCTTCTTGTGTGAGCAACCTCATTCCTCCCTCCACCAGGTATAGTTCTGAATGTTCAGCCGGTCTCTTTTTTGGACTATTTCTTTGAGGTCCAGGTTGTTTTGGGGGGCAAAAGCTTTGTTTTCTAAATTGTCAAAAAGTGATGACTTCAAATAGTGCTGGTACCAATATATGTGGGCAGTAAATTACAATTTAGTTGGAAACTAATGCTTTTTCAGTGGCTGAGGTTTTGAACGTTTGATCAAATAAAAAATTTCTTAAACTTAATATGCATGTGGCCCTTCACAGTCCTAGCAGTTGTGGTCTTTAGGGCAATGTCTGTATTTTGAAACCAAAAAGAAACCCAAGCAATTACTTGGCCAGTACAACTGCTGCAACCATTTACCTACAGATGGAACAGGCAGTTGACATCAGTCAGGTGCACAAATGGTTCCTCCTCAGCTCACCTTTCTCCAGCTTCCCAAGACTGAGAAAAGACTCATGAACTGGAAGGTGGAGAGCGGATGGGAGCAACAGGGAAAACCACCATGTCATTCTACCCAAGAGAGGAGTTGGGAGGATGTGGAGGCAGTGCTTGAAATGGAAGAGAACTGGTGAGTAGCAGATAGATCACTAACCCTTGACATCCTCCTCTCCTCATCCAGTTTATGTAATAAACTCAGCCTATGAGATGAGCAGAGCCATGAACAGGATATTTGATCTGTTAAAAAATTATCATTTTTACATTGATATTGAAGGTTCAAGGCCCTTTTTTTCCAGTTGAGATGTGACACCTCATAGTGAACATGTGATGTGAGACAATGTGTCTGTCTGTCCTGTTCCTAGCAGTTCTACAGTCCTGTTATGAAGATGACATACAGGCGTTCCTATTACTCTTAAAACAAGTAGAAAAAGATGGTTGTCATGGTTCTCCCTACTGTGTATCATAGAGTAAATAAAAAATGTTCCTGAGTCTGGACAGGTTACCTGGAGGGACTGTTACTGTTACAACAAGTAAGTAATAAGAATATTATTACATCTAAGCCATGTAACAACATGACTTACTATTTCTTCAAATGTTAAAAAATCTCCAGTAGAAAGCAGCTGTAGTAGCTGCTTCTGCTATATTCTGTATGTAGCAGACAACAGTGAAACTTACTCCTATATAAAAGCAATGTGGAAAACCTTTCTATAGCAATTGTGCATTTTTTTGTTTATAGATGAAAATAATTAACTTTTTAAAAAAGTAACAGTAATTAGTCTGTAACATCATAATTTCTCTGTAAGCTGAAGAGTTATTGGTTTTTTAGAATAATTTATGACATTTGCTATTAAATATTTAATGTGCACCTTTTTTGTTACATTGAGAAGAATAATTTTTTTGAGATTGATGATGTATGTGTTCTTGCACTCAGCCAAGGATATCATAACTGCAAAGCTCACCCTTTTGCCATGGAAGTAAATTATAATATAGTTTTCAGTCACCTTTCCTTTAAGCCTGGCTCAAAAAATAAGATGTTTATCAAACTCATAAGGAAAAACCCTTTCACAATGATATGAAGATGTAACCAAACACCTCCTAAAACCACCAAATGAGCCTCAAAGAATGGTGTTACTGACCCTCTGATATGCACAGGTTTGCTGAAATGGTTCTGAATACTACATGAATAGCCTCTCACCTGGATTGTGGGACAGTCTTGTCTACAAAGAGGAATATTGCTTTCTCAGATGGCAGTTGAATCCTCTTCCTGATGATCCACATGAACTGGGCCACGGTGATGTCAGATGGAACTAAGTACTTCCTCTTGTCAATATCAACAATCTGAGATCCTGAGACCTTCTCCACTATGACCTGTGAAGTGCAAGTGTGAAGGTCAGGACTGGCATGAACAGACAGCTTGGGTAAATCTCTTGCTGGCACAGGCTGGCAACAGCGAGCAGAGGGGAGGAACAAAAAGGTTTCTTGACTGCAACCAAATGAGAGGTAGAACTGGCTCAGTACCATAAAACCTGATTTTACGGCTACACTGAAACCTACATTCATACACACAATGGCTCAAAACTTCCTGTATCTGAGGCTGACAGTCATGAGGTAAAAAGCTGCATTATGCCCAAAAGAAACCCATGACAGGGAATTAAATGTGTCATTTAACTTTGTACACTGACGACACGAAACCATTGCAATGTGGACCCAAAGTTGAAAATAAGCCAGCAGTGTGCCCTGGCAGCAAATAAGGCTAATGGCATCCTGCACTGCATTAGGCAAAGTACTGAGAGGTGATCCTGTACTGGTACTGGTGAGGCCACCTTTGAATTATGCTGAACTGACATGAGAACATCTTTCATCATACCTTAGGAAATCAGGAATAGACTACAGGAAGGAAAGAGCAAGATGGCCACAAACAAAGTGAAACAAAAAGCAGCAGACACAGGGGAAAGGAGAATTAAGCATTACTTGTGATAAAGACCTGATGCTTACTGCTCCATACAGGCTAGTTCTTGAAGGAAAAATGCAGCAGGTGGGGAAATCAGTTTTACAAGAGGTTCCAGTGTCTCCATTCCTTAGCTCTGTGTTCCCCTTAAAACATTGTTCAAAAAACACTTTTAACTATTAAACTGGTACCAACTATTTTATGAAAGGTACATGGCTCAATCTGAATCATCAAGCAGAAAACATGGACCTGTCCAAACAAAGCACTACACTGCAATTTGAGATTTAATTCCTGTATCTACATTCACCTTGTTGTCCATTCCTGATACAGCAGCATGTAATTCTGTCTCTCACTGAGAGTTTCTACGTTTCTTTTCCCCCTATGGTTAAGAAGGATATTCTTGAAGCAGATGAATGGATATCTGTGGAGATGTATGGTCATTAAGGATGCTGCAGTCCATATATGAGGGGACAGTTAGGCAGGAGAGGATGGGAAGGATCATATCAGCTTGCCAGACTGCAACTGGAGACAATGTTGTGACAATTAGGTGCAACTGAGCAGCAGAGAAAGGCAACAAGAATAGATTCTTCTCTGGGCTGTGCTAATGGAGAAGTTACCAAGAGGTGAGGCAGGAGTAGCACTAACTGGCCCATGGTCAGATGGGATGTGGGACATTTTACACACGAGCAAGTAAGTTGAGAATGTGGACATGTTGCTTGCTGTTATATAAGGATGTGAAGCGTGGTCATTTCACAGACTGAAACATGATAAAAGGGATTGTGGAGTGAAGAAGAGAGGTCATTCACTATTTAGCAGAATGGTAGGTGTTAATGCAGAAAGGAGGGCTCACCACTTGTACTGGCTCTTCAAACAGTGTTTGCATGAGGAGATTCACGATGATGATTGGTTATAGGCATGGAATACAAGAGGGAATATCATCTAACTCATATATCCAGGATGGAGGATTGTCAAGGTTTAAAGAATTCATAATCTTTCTTAGGATCAGGCACAGAATGAATCCTCAAGATAATGAAGATGTTTGCTGGGATATAATTGCCATTAGAAGAAATCAGGACCCTTATAAATCATTAAAATGCCTGGAAAGTGTTTATAAAGTTAGGCACTCTTGCTTATTTGTCAATATACACTGGGACAGGAAAGGGAACACTGGATTAGTTAGATGTGTTTGGAGCTTCTTTAAAACACCTAAGGATACAAGAAGGAACATGAATTTACTTAGGAACTGATCAAAGAGTGTGAAGGATGGAAACAGCTTATCTGCCTTTGCCTCTAAGTACTCTGAGGAAGCTGGCTCGGTTACTCACCGGGACACGGTCGGGGTATTTGGCTCGGATTTTTGCCGACTCGACACATCTGTGCTCTGTGAACAAAACTCATAATTAGTCACTGCACAGTAATACTACTGCCGGCGTCACAGGCCGAGAGGGCAGCGCCCGCAGGGCCGAGAGCCTGCGAGGATAGCAGCCACCTCCCCACCCTCCGAGGGGATCTCCAGCTTTTCGGCGAGGCCGTCCCCGGGCATCGCACCACCCTTCGGCGAGGGCCGCAAGCGACTGCCCGCCCACAGAGGAGCGGCTGGGGGAGCCGACCGGGGCAGATGGCGACACAGCAGACGGAGGGCGGCGGGGCCGCTGGCGGGCAGCGCCCGGCCCGGGCCCACCCTTACCCAGCGCGTGGTCCTCCTTGAACATCCACTTCATGGTGCGGGCGGGCGGGAAGCGAGCCGCGGCGAGGCCGTGCTGGCGGGGCGGGGGCTCGTGCACGGCCTGTCGCTGTCACCGGTCCCTGTCACAACAACAACAGCGCGGGCTCGGGCAGGCGGACTTCCGGCTCGCCCGTATCCCCCGAGCAACGCGCGCCCCCGCCGCGTCCGCCGGGGATCGCGGCGGAGGCTGTGGCATCCGGCGCAGGAGCCCACGGCCGGTGGTGAGGGCCGAAACCGTCAGCCCCGCCACACCGCGCAATGCCGGAGCGCTCCGGGACCGCGCACGGGCTCGGCCGGCCGCGCAGCTGCCCCGGTTAGTGCCCCGGCATGCCCCCGACCGCGCGGCCCCCTCCCGCCGCCGCGCTGATCACCCGCCTCACCGCGGCCCGCGGGCCCCAGGGCGGCGCTGTGCGCTCATTGGCTGCACGCCCCGGCCCTCGGCGCTGATTGGCGCGGCTTCCCAGTCCAGTCCGCGCTGGGTGCGCGGCTTGAGCGGAGCGCTCGCCATGGTGGCGATTGGAGCTGTGCTCAGCACCCAGCGCTCTACGACGCGCTACCGGGCCGGGCTCTGCTCTGCTGCGGCACTGGCAGGCTGGTGTGCTCATCACCGCGCTCACCTATGGTGCCGCCAGCTGCTTGGTGGCCTTACCGGAGCCACAGGTGAGCGCCACTCGACCCCACGCGGCTCGGCGGGCCCGCTCGCCCTGAAATCTCGGTGCTGTCTCTGCCCTCAGGTTTCTGGCTGAAGCAGAGCACGTACCTGGAGCAGCCCACTGTGCGGTTCCGGTACGAGGTTCTCCTCGTCGCCACCATCGGGCCCAGCCCGGGCAGCTTCTTGGCGTGGAGCACGTTCCCAGCGTTCAACAGGCTGCAGGAGGACCGGCTCCGAGTCCCGCTCCTGGCGGTAGGCCTGCCCGGGGCCCGGCAGCAGCGGCGAGAAGCGGGGCTGCAGAGTGGGGCAGCCGGCTCGGGGCGTGAGTGGGCACTGCTACCTTCAAGGAACAGCAGCTTCACGCATAACCTCGTGCCTCACATCAGAATCCAGTTGGGAGAAGTGATTTTTAACGAGTCCAGTTTAACTCCCTCTTCAGTGCTACTGAATCATAGAATTACTTAGATTGGAAAAGGACCTTATGATCATCAAGTCCAACCATTAACCAAACTACTGGTTTCTGAACCATGTCCCTAAGCACCACTGGTGGTTTGCATGAACACGTCAGTTTACTTCCCTCAAATCAGTTGTGCTCTCCTCCCCTGGCCACATGGCTTATCATGATGTGAACTTGGCATGGGTCGCTAGGTAGGCCCTAGTTTTGGAAGCATGTATGAGCTTCCTAAAGCACATAGCCTTTGCCTTGCAGTCATTGTTCCTTCTGGGATTCCACAATGGCAGTTATTTTAATGTCTGCCTCTGTTACGAGTCCTGCTATGCTTGCAAATAGCTGAGGTACTGGGCGTTTGTGGCACGGAGGTGTAGCAAGCCTTGGCTCACAGCCAGGAATTGGAGTACAGAGGCCATCAAGAGGCATGCTGCAGTGGCAGGAGGCAAAAACCTGACCACCTGTCATATTTGCACAGGATCTGACAGAAGATCCAGCACTAAGGCATGCTTTGTAGGATGCAGGGGAGGTGGTCAGAATGGTGTAGGGCAGAAAAGACTTTGAAGAGTCTAGTGAGCTTTCCCTTCCTGGGGGGGCATATGAGATGTTGTATAACAGACTACATTGCAGGCTTCTTCCTTGTCTCTAGTTCTTGGTCTATCAAGTCAAGAAACTTTTTATTTCTTTTGTTACACTGCAGCTTATTTGCTTCCTTTCATTGTGCATACTGCAGTTGTGGAGTTCCCCTGGGGTTTTACCTTTTCTGTTTTTCTTTCTAACAGAAATTCCTGTATTTTTAAAAAATCATATTATTTTAGACTAGAGAAGAAGACAAAAATCAAGATGGCAAAATGGATCAGTTGCATTTTGAATTGGAACTTCCACTCCAACCTACAGAGCATGTATTTGGCATTCAGCTGATTCTACTCTTTTCCTACCAGCTTTATGTGAGCATTTTTAGTTATGTTTGTTGTGATGTATAGACCCAGTATAATATTCCAGTAGTGGTTATACAAAGGATGAAAAGAAACTTTTCACATTTGAAATTTCTATCTAAAATATTTATTTTACTAACAAATATTTAATTTTCTCCTCTGCTGAGTCATTCCTAGTCTAGCTGTAGCTTGCGTATTTTGATACACTTTGTTAGAAATTTTTTTTTAAATTTTTTTTAAGATCTATATTCTCTTGGGTTGTAGTGCAGCATAAAAGACAGAAATGCACAACAGTGAGTATCAGTGTGGGTGGCACCAGGAAATAACTGAGAGTCTTGCAGTAGGGAGAAGGATGTGCATTCTTACATACTACTGTGTCTTGACATAACCAGTTAGTTTTCTGAGGTGGAGAGGCAGGCTGTTGCAACAGCCTAAAACTCCATATATTTTGCTTCCTTAGCAACTCTTGAAGCATTGGTAATGATCTACCAGGATCTTCTGTATCTTGTAACAGGGAGGAGGAAGAAAGTATTACAGGAAGACAAGACAATACAATTCTGCTACTGTTGTATCTCAAGTGGCAGTGCAATTAATAACTAAAGCAACAAGTAAAACTCCAGTGCACAAAGAACCCATGGATACATCTGAAAGGAGCAATAATATAGAGCTGTGTTGGATGCAGCCACACAGACAAGAAGTTCTTTTTCTAGGGAGATTAGTCTGAGCCTATCCAAGAGACTTGCTGATTGCAGGTAGACAAGTGGTGTAGAAAACTTCTTAAACCTGTGAGGCCCAGAATAAAGGCCCAAAAGTCCTAAATTTGGGCTGAAGTATTAGATCAGTGATTAGTATCGCAGAGTTACAATATTCAAGACTTCTATTCCACTGTAAATGTGAAAATTTTCCTTCAGGTTGAGTGGTTGATAAGAGCTGAGGAACTTTTTTATTTGGTCCTTATTGCAGAGCAGGAGTCTTGATTTTGATTGCTGAGTTTTTTAAAGTCTGTCTACAAGGAATGTGTTCAGTCATCTTGCTGCTTTTTACATGTAATACTGTCATTAACCACAGACTGTTGGATTGAATTTCCTGTGGAACTTTGTATGCAATAACTAAGGTAAATCACTTAATGAAAAAAAAAAATAGTTTTTATTCGGTGTTCCCTTGTTTAGACCAATATAATGATCTGAAACTTGGGAGTCAGAAAAGTATGGAATCCATGTAGAAAATTCGTAGATACAAAGAGGTAGAAATGTGTGTGTGGGGAGTCCCCACCTAAATTCTCTTCTCTTGTGTTCACTATTTCAGAGAATGTCAACATTTGTGATGCAGAGCATGGCTTTTCTTCAGTTTTTTTCTCCTGTGCCAGGGTCTCGGCTCTATATGAATGGAGACCTGAAACTGAACCAGAGGCAATTACTTAACCATTGTGGACTGGATACCAGATACAATGTGAGGAAATGTTTTTCCCTTCCCCATCAATTCCCCTCCCCTTTTATCCTCCTGGTATCATAGGTGACACCCTGGTTATTTGTAGTCCTGCACAGAGTGAACCCTAAAACTTTGGAACTGGTGTTTTATTGTTAGGCTAAAAGAGGGAAGAGGTTATTGTACCAAGATGTTCAGTCTGTTGTTTATGTGCATTCCCTCAAGGGCATGGTTATTTTGTGTAAGAAACTCAGTAGAATTATTGTCTCGAAGACTGGACAAATAATGAAAGTGTCTCCTTGTTGTAACAGGTGTCTGTGGTCAATGGCACAAGTCCTTTTGCAAGTGACTATGATCTAACAAACATCATTGCAGCATACTGGGATAGAAATGGTAAGCCTGAATGTGCAGCTGTGAACTACAAGACAGTAGTAGTTCGCATATTGGCAGATGTTTTGTGAGGTATTTGGGTCCTGTATTAAAACCTAAAAGCCCCTTAACCTGGATGTTTCCTTTCCCCATTTTAGTGACAACAGTCTTTTCAGATCCCAGCCCTGTTTGGATGACAGGAAGAGCAACAGATACACCATTTATCATTAATGCCACTATTCATTATCCAGTGGAAGTTATTTTATATCCTTTGAAAACTGCATAAACTGTGACATAATTGGGTTGCGTTATTTAGGCCTTCACATACAGGCCAAGTGAAAACTGTTTTCTTCTAGATTTGTTTCTAAACTTTTTCTTTGTTAGCTAAGCAATTGCTGAAGTTCTGGAGTTAATGAAATACCTATTTGTCCATTCCTCCAGATGGTTCTACTTGCCTAACCATCTTCTGCCTTTCTCTACTGGGAACTTACGTTGCTTTTCAGCTTTACTAAACAGGCCTTTAAGGCAGTTTCTTAGCCATTTTCAGTGAATATTCTTAGTGAATCTTGCTTTGCTCATGCAGCACCTGCTGTCCCAGTCTGTCACGGATGCCACTAGCAAAGCATGGTACTGTAGTCTGGGACCTAAAGCACATCATTAGAAATATGCATGCAAGATAATAATAACCCCCACAGTGGAGGAGTTACATCTGTTGCACATGCAAGCAGACTTGATTTTTTTTTTTTTTGCAAAATAATACTTTGTTAATTGTGTTTTTGCTCATTTTCTCAGACAAGAACCAGCCTGTGTTTAAGAGAATCTGTATGGAGCATACTTCTTAATGAGGTTTGTTTACCTGCCTGACTATTACAAATAACAGCTTTCTGGTGAGTCAGGTACAAAATAGGTACTTTACCCAGAATTGGTTTAAATGTTTTCTAGGACAGATATTCTCTGCAGCTTTTGTTACCTACTGTAGTAAAAGGCTTTTAGGTGTTTCTGTGGCTCAGAGGCTTTACATTTGCTACAAAAACTGATATCTTAACAGATTTTGTGCCTTTCTGCGTCTGAGTTCCTTTGTTTGCTTATTGCAATCAGAAGCTTCTTCATTAACACTCCTTGACTTTCTTTAAATATCAGCCAGGATTCTGGGAAATTATTAAATTTGCCTGGATCCAGTATGTCAGCATCCTCCTTATCTTTCTTTGGGTGTTTGGTAGGATTAAGATGTTTTTGTTCCAGAATCAGGTGTTGACTACAATTCCAGTATCATCAGTTCTGCCAGTGTCTCCAGTACTATCCTACAAACAGCACCAGTCCTGAGGAGATGCCTGAGAACACTTTAACGAAATGCAGTTCAAAAATAGTCAGCTGCTTTTATTCTCTATTCACTTTTTACTTTGGAAGATCAGAATTTTGTAAGTATGTTTCAAGTATGCTCTCTTTGTGCTTCCTTTTTAAACACATGTTCATTCATCTAATTTTTCTGGGAACACTGCTTTGGAACTGAAAATTTTAAATTTTTTGACAACTAAGAGTTAAAGAAGAGCTTAGTTATTTTTTTTTTTGCAACTGGACCACGCTTTAAAAGCCAGTAGGAAGCAATGAGTCTGCTTTTGCATTATCTTAATTTTGCTACACCTTGAAGACTGAAAATAATATGCTAAAAGTAACAATATAAACTGTTTTTACTGTCTTGTGAATTAATTCACTTCTGACTTAGAGTTCTGTCCAGAGCTGTTTGTACATGCATTTATGTACACTATGAAATGAAACAAAATATGAGGAATGTGAAAAAATGTATGGATGAGTTAAGGTCAGAGACACTCCTGTCACAGTACAGCCACAGTTATGTGGCTATACATGCTCAGCAATTTAGTTATTAAATTGGATGATGGATAAATTCAAGGTTGATGTGAGAAACTGGGTTGTGGGTGATAGCGTGTGCAAGGTTTGCACAACCATTTACTATTGGCATTATTACTGTAGCACTAGACCATTCATTGTGAATTGTGAATAGTAAAACAGAGAAGCCTGGTATTTATTGAAAGAAAAGTAACAAAAAATACTACCAGAGAAGCTTTAGAGTTCCAAAGCAAGTGAATAATTACTTTCAGAACTTAAATAGCTTAGAACTGATAAAAAATATAATCACCTGATGGAAGACGATATTTACCAAATATAATCACTTTTTCCCTGAATGAACTTGTTATGTGCCTGCACAAGCATTTGAGTGGGCATAAGCAAGGGGTAGAAATCTCTGGAGAGGCCACAGGACCTCATTTTAAGGGTTTGAATGTTGTACTCTGACAAAACTGGAATGTGTAACAGTCTTCCTCCAAGCTGAACAGACAGCTGTTCAAGGTAACAACAGGAACATGGAAGAGACTAGTGCCAGCAAACAACAGTATTGGGAGACTTCAGTAATTCCTATCTCACTGTTATCTCCTATTGTAGCCTTTCACATTAAGTTATGACAAGTGATGCTGCTCAGAGCAACAGTTCAGTGAATGCATGTGAAATAAAAAATGGAGAATAGGTCTGGTTTAGGAAAGACAGATTAAAACATTCTTATGTTCTCTTTTCCTTTAGAAAGAGAAAGCTGGAAAAAAATCCTCTACAGTAATTTAAGTGGAGAACTATATAAGTTAAAAGGACGAAATCAAAAGGAGTTATTTGCTTGCCAGTGGCATGTAACTGTTTAGTATGACCTGAAAAAATCCCTCCATTTCTTTTGAAAGAGGTGTGTTTCATGACTGCAGCTAGTAAGTGAATGCAGGATGAAAGGAGCCCTAAAGGCAAGTGTGACCACAGCAGGGGAAAAAAAAACTTGTTTGTGATACCTCTGCTGTGGTAACTTCCTGGATCACTGTTATACTGAAAATAGTTCTTGGTTCATAGTTCTGACTCCTTTCTCAAGCTTGAAGAGACATTCTACTTCTGTAAGTAACCAAGCAATAGAAAAAACATAAGATTTTTCAGCTGTAGCAATAAACTGAACTACAGGGAAAAAATATACCTGAGGATCTGCTGCAAGTACCATTAAGGGAGGTTGAGGAAGGAAGAGCCTTTCTCAGAAGGCTCTCTGTGAGGACTCTTCCTTTAGCTTTCTAAGGCACCCAAAATAAAATGACAAAATATATCTGAAACCAGTGCTATCTGCCACAGTGCTACTACACAGATCTTATGTGTACACACATGGCAGAGAACAACCTAAATGCTCTTCACTGAGGAAGGACACAGTGGCTTGCTAGGATTAATCAAAGTTCTGTAACTGATTCTGTAAGAAGAAAAAGTAAGCATCTGGTTAAAGGTCCTATGCATAAATTGAAGTGGGAATGTGGCCGTTTAAGAGCCACGCTTCAGGAGTCTTTTAAGGCGTGGAGCTGGGATAAAAGAAACGACCCCGGTGCTCGTTAACCGGCCGTTTGCAGGGTCAGGACCCTCCGGTTCTGCTCGCCTGAGGCGAGCGGGACGCGGCCGCGCCGAGCCCTGTGCGCCTGGGGCTGGGGCGGGCTTGGGGGCAGAAGGAGGAGGGGGAGGAAAAGGACGAGAGGGAGGAAGAGGAGGGGCTGCCGCGCAGGCGGGCCCGAGGCGCGCGCGCGCTGCCCCCGTCCCCGCGGGTGCGCTCGCGGCGGGCCCGGTGCCGCTCGAGCCCCTCGGCAGCGGGTGCTGGGCGGGCCGCCTCTGCCAGGCTGCGCCTCTGCCCGGGGATGCTCCGGGAGCGGCGGATCGGCTCCTTCCCGGGCTCCTCCCGCTGCCCCCGGCGCCCCGGCCACGTCTGAAAGCGGCTCATTGTCTCTGTCGGCAGCTCGGAGCCGCGCCCGGTGGCGGCGGAAGGTACGGCGGGCTGGTGCGGGGGGGTGGCGGCTCTTCACAGGACTCGCCGTCGCGGTCAGACCGTTTTTTCCGGCGTCAGCGGTGCTTACAGTCAGTCGCACTACGCTTCAGGGGATGTATTCGAGCCGTTCGCACTCTCATTACGTTTCGGGGGATGTATTCGAGCTGTTCGCACTCGCACTACGTTTCGGGGGATGTTTTTGAGCCGTCCGCCCTCGCCCCTGCCCGTGGCGGTGAAGTAGCGGGAGCACCAGGTGCGGCGGAGCCGGTGTCGCGCCGTCTGAGCCGTTGGTTGAGGTGCAGTCGGTTGTTGACAGAGGTCAAGCTGTCGAAAATCAGACCTTTTTTTGGTTAGGTTTTTTTTCTTCTTCTGTCCTCTCCCCTAGAGAACATGGCTGAGGTGGTTAAGTGGTTTCGTTTGCTAAAGTCAGGTCGTGAAATAAGGTGCGTTAGAGAACATTTCCCGTCGTTCCGGGAAATCCCTTCCAGTTTTTCTGTTGTGTCCAGCCTCTCTTTCCAGATGAAGGTCACACACCGGTCTGAAGAATTTGTCTTTATTTACTGGTTGCAACAGTTGCTTCAGTGGGGCACATAGGGCACACCTCAGCCTATTCCTCCTAGGATGGTTTGAATTTGAGGACATTATTGTGCTGCTGCAGACAGAGTCTCAAGTAAGTGAATAGCATTCAGTCACTGTAGGTGTCTCTTTGTCAATCCAGTTTTGCCATAGTAAAAATTCTTAACAAAAATTGCAGCTAAGCAGACCTCATTTCTTGAACACCAGTAATTCTAGCAGCTGAAAACGCTTTGTGATCTTCAGCTGCATTGCATGGAGAAACAGGTGGTGTAGGGCTATGCCTCAACACTACTTTTTGTTCAGGCTGGACAACTTTATCTAACTCCAAAAATTATAAATAAAACCCAAAGGAAACAGTACCTTTTGAAAAAAAGAACTTTAATGGTCATGTAATTAAATCCTTGGTATGTTTAATTGTATTATAAACTATTTCAGCCTGATGATTTCCTACAAACATTTGTTCCAACCTCATTTGCCCCTAGATTGTGAAAAGAAGTACATTTCCAAAAGCTAAATTAACAATATCAGCTGGAATTCTAATATATTGTTATTATTCAGAATTATTACAGTACATTTACTGTACTTTTATTGTTTCAGTTAGAGTTTCACTGCTCTATTAAAAAAATTAAGCAGGCTTTTGAATTTCAACTATTTAGTATTGGCCAGCTATTAGAAAGACTTTTAACTTTTTGAAGTACCAGTAGTTACAGAAGGCACCCTCCAAACAAACTTTTTCTTTCCCCATTCAAAGATCAATCTGCATATTGTTGGCAATACAGTAACCTTTTGCCTTATGAAGGTGTGTGATTTCTAGCTGCAGGAGAACACTGGAAATGGATATTTTGTCAGCTGGGTGATTACAGCAAGAATTACTAGTAATATTGTTGTGCATTTTTCTTTGACCAGCTGTGTCACGTTCCTGCATTTCACTTTTTAGAGCAGCAAAGCGTGTTCCTAATGTTGAGCCCATAGAAGCAATTCTGGTGATGATTGCATTGGTGTGATGTCTTATAGGTGAAGTATGCAGTGAGTAAACTTCTCCATGAGGGACAGTAGAACTTCAAGTGATCTTTGCTCTGTTTATAATGCCATGCACAAATATTTTCCTGTTATTTCTACAAAATGCATGATGACATTTACCATTATCGTTCTTTTTACAGTCAGTACTGCTGCATCTGGTGAATCGTAAGTACATAGGTGATACTTATATTCATCTTGTATGATTGCTCTGAAAAGTCAGCATGTAGTGTATGACAAGCATACAGGACAATCATTGTTGGCTACCAAAAGATATTAATTTTTCAGTGGAAAAGACCAAGCTGGGAAATTAATTGAGAACATGATATGAAATTGAAGTAATTTCTGTGTAATCTATAAAGACTTTGGTTTAAAAGTGCTGCATAAACTGTTTTAAATTAAAGTGTGCTGGACCTTTTCTTAGACTCAAAATGGCCAAGGAAGACTGACAAAGACAGTTAAAATTCAGTTGCTCAGAAGCCATTGTAGGAGAGCAGGTATTTATAATTCCTCACTCAGATATTTCGCTTTATTCCAGCCAGGGTTTTCAGTCTTCCCAAAGCAGACCTAGGCCTGTTGGTTCTGAGGGAGTCTTTCATCCCAGCCTTTTGTCCCAAGCTCAAAGAGAGAGCATGTTTCTTTACAGCTCTTCTGTCTTTCTACCATCTTTTTAGTATCCCAGAAAAAAAAATTGAGCAGTGTAAATAGGAGGGTCTTTTTTTTTTAAGCTGTTGATAATTTACTAGGTCTCTCCAGGTTGAATTCTGTGCCGAAAGGAAGTTACTTAGAAACTGTACTCCTTTCAGAGATGACCTGCAAAGATCTCATTACTCAATTCCAACATTACATGACTTACAGGACAAATGAATAAAAGTTCCTGAAAGCAAGACCTAAATAATCATCCATTACACGGTTTCTTTCTCTCTTTTCTGCCATTCTGAGTCTGAAAAGTGCTCTCTTTAGAAAACAAGCCCTGCTACCACTGGCTGTATTTTTACCCTGCTTGCTAAAACTGGATAGCTTTCTGTGTTGTATCTAGTTTCTTGGCAAGCAGTGGCAGATGCTAGTGGCCCTGCAGCTCAGCAGTCTATCAGAGGCAGTTTAAGTCATGAAGAAAATGATTGCTCTGTTGGCTAGTTTGTATAATTTCCTTTGGATGTTATGGAAGAATAGTTATTCTGGGACTGTCCCAGGGTTCATCTAGTCCAGGATCTTGTTTCCATTAGTAGCTGTTAGCAGGCAAGCCCAGTGACAGAGCTTGACTTAGAACTGTCAACTAAGCCATATATGCAGATGCTTTTCAGATCACATTTTGAACATTTGTATTGGCCTGCGAAGAGATGATTGTGCCTCAGGAATTTGTGATGGTTAGACTTCTGATTATTCTGCTCTTTGCCAGAACTCTCCCTGAAGAAACAGTATCACAAAAGAAGTACTACTGCGACTGTCACAGAAAAGGAATAATAGTG